GTGTTCTGTACACCTTGTTTGACTTTGATATTGTTTATGATTTTGGTTTTGTCTTTGTTGCAGGTAATGCTGTTTATAGCAAAAAATTAATTAGCGGTTTGAAGAAAATTTTCTATTTTTTGTTTGGAGTCTGCTATAAGAGCTAGGTCATCCATGTATGCTAATATGTTGGGACCCTATATCCCTGGACTGGGTAGTGTTGAGACAGTTTGATGACTAGGGGTTATAGAAGATAATCCAAATAATTGGTGATAGCGTTTCCCCTTGCTCTACTCTGTTATTAACCATGAATAGCTTAGTGGGACCAAATGATGAATTGATAAATATCTTTCTTTCGGTTAGAATGTTAATAAGAAGATTGATAATTTGATCTGGACACTTGATTCTTTCTAGCGATTTCTTTATTGCTGGTATGGGAGCTAAATCAAATACTTTGGTGATATCAAAAAATGCAAACCAAAATTCTTTGTTGTTAATGTTTGCAGCTTGAAGGGCTGAATTGACAATTGCAAGTGATTCCATAGTACTCTGTCCAGGAAGACCGGCACAGTTGAATCTTGATAAAATATTGTTTTCCTTAAGAATCTTGGTTAGTTTTTTGTTGACTAGACCTGTAAAAATTTTTCTAGAAGAGTCGACTAGCGAGATTGGTCTGGTATCAGCTAGTTTGTGACTCCAGACAACCTTTTTTGGGATTAAGGTAATAATGATTTGCTTTTATTGTTTGAATATTGAGGTGGATTGTAGGATGTGGTTAAAAATAATTGTCATGTAAGAGATTGTTTTGTTGCCCATCAGTTTGATAATGTTATAAGTGATTCCTGAAATTCCTGGGGCCTTGTTTCTAGAAAGTTTATGAATAGCTTTTTTAACAGTTGACGAATCGAAAGGATCTGAAAGCTTCTTATATATGCCTTGATTTATTGTCATGGGAGAGTAGGTTTCTTCCCACTCAGGAAAGTTAGAAAGGTTGAAGTTTCTGAATCGAGGAATGTTCTTGAAATAGTTATTGATAGTTTCTTGAATAAGATTGGGATTATCTACAAGCTGGTTGTTGGAATCATGTATTTTATGGAGATCAATTTTAGGCTTGATTGTTTCAAGAACTTTTTTGACATAACTCTTTGGTTTGCTATAGAAATTTTCTACCATGTTTTTGAAGTTTAGGCAGAACTCTTCAATTGATTCTTGCTGAGCTTGAAATAGGACTTCCTTAATAAGAAGTTTCTTTAACTTTTGGAGACCCTTGATTGAGATATTGGAGTTATGATTGGTAATTTCGTAGAGGGTAAGTAGTTCTTGATCTGATAGAGATGGGGATGGATGTCTGTTTTTGAGTTGTATCATCACTTTGTTGATTTTCCTGGTTTGCCTTTTGAGTCTCTTTTCTGCATTGGTACGAATTTTTTTAAGTAACTTTTTATTTATGGAAAGACTGTATATAATATATAAAAAAAACCAAAATTACATGATTTTATAATATAATCAAAGTTTTTTTTTTTTTGAAAAATTAAAATTATATCAATTAATTGTAGAGTATAAATTTCCTACATCATATTTTTATTAATATTATTATAGACTATATTAATCTTTAACTATAAAGCTCCAGACTTAAAGACAGTTCCCGTCCTAGTATAGATTAGATTGATTAATTTAGTCTAACCATTGTATAAGAGTATGATTTGTTACTCCGTTAAGAGTCTTTCAGATTGGTTAGGTCATGGTTCTACGCATTGTGCTTTGTTTCCGTTATTGAGTTTATTCTTAGATGTACAACGTATACAAAGCGTACAAATAGACCCTTCATAATAAGTATGTATGCACGTACTACTGAAGGCGTAACTTTTATTTTGTTATATAAATAAAGCCTTTTTTGCTACTTAGAAATTTACGCTCAAAGGATCTAATTCAATTTAACGTTTTAACATTCCCATATAACATTCCAATTTCAATTAATTATGCCGAAAGTTAAAAGTGCCAAAATCAGTTTTGTAATTGAAACGAATGAAACGTTCCGAAATTCAATGGTCTCTCCATCTAACGAAGTATACAAAAAATCATATCAGGAAAAACGACAATATGTTGAAAATTTACTAAAAGAAAACACGTACCCATATGAAATAGACCTTGACCATTTGATTGGACTTTCTGTAAAGTCTAGAAGACATAAAAGTTATAAAGAGAATAAAAAAGAGCATCCGGCTAGACCGCAAAACAGCTTTTTTATATTCAGAAGAATTTTTGACGAGCAGGCCTGTAAAAATGAAGATACCAAAGTAAAAGATGTGTCAATCGACGCAGGAACAGAATGGGAAAAATGGAAGTCTACTGACTTCGGAAATCTAATCGAACATATCGCTATTCTGGCGGAAAAGTTTCATAGATGCAACTATCCGAATTACAAGTATCAACCACAAAAAAAGAGTCCAAAACGGACCACTCTTTCTAGTCCAGAAGCAGAAGATGAAAAATTAGATCCTTTGAGGTCAACAGAAACTTATGGTTTACCAACGCCGGCATCTTCGCTGGTCTCACCAGCCATGCATTCAATTGACGGTTTTGCAGGAAGCTCTGGGCCCGATTTTACCTTGTTCGATAAGCTAAACAATCAAATTTCGAATTTATTCGCAGAAGATATTCAAACAGAGACCGAACTAGAGAATTTAGAGAATTCAATTAATAATGAAATATATGCGACTCTCACTCTTAAATCCTCCGGTGTAACGGATATTGCTCAAGCGGTTAACTCATCTCCGCAAATTTCTACTCTCGAAACTCATGTGATTTCCCCGGTTTCCTCTCCCAAATCCTCCGGTGTAGCGGATATGGCTCAAGAGGTTAACTCATCCTCGTACACTCCGGAGTTTTCTCCGGTTTCCTCTCCCGAATCCTCTGGTGTAGCAGATATTGCTCAAGAGATTAACTCATCTCCGTACATTTCCTCTCCCGAATCCTCTGGTGTAACGAATATTGCTCAAGAGGCTAACTCATCTCTCGAAACTCTGTTTTTCTCTTCCGAATCCTCTGGTGTAATGGATATGGCTCAAGAGGTTAACTCATCTTCGTACGCCTCTTCTCTCGAAAATCATGTGATTTCCTCGGTTTCCTCTCCCGAATCCTCCGGCGTAGCGGATATTGCTCAAGAGGTTAACTCATCCCTGTACACTCTGGGGTTTTCTCCGGGTTCCTCTTCCGAATCCTCTGATGCAATGGATATGGCTCAAGAGGTTAAATCATCTCCGTACACTTCTACTCTCGAAACTCAGGGGCTTTCTCCGGTTTTCTCTCTCGACGAGACTCAACAAATGATTTTAGATCTTGCAAACTTCAATTATCCTCCGTGCTTCCCCGCTTTCGACAACCAACATGATTTTACACAACAAATGGTGGCGAGTCAAAGTGAATTTGCCACTACACCATCTTACAATTATAATCAACAATTTGTAAACGAAGATTCGATTTACACAACATTTGATTACCTGGTTTATCTACAAGAACAGTTATGGAATGATCCAACGTGGAATATGCTAACCTGAATTACTGAATTCCCTCAGTTTTCATCAACTTTATATTTCTTTCCAAGATTAACTCTCAAAAGGCTCCACAATAAAGCAGCGATAGTTAATCCACAACTTATAATGATCATATGATCTTTATTAGTTGGGATGTCTACCTCTACTTGTTGCAGATTCTTTTGAGAGTTAATGAGGGAAAAAAGTATATGGTTGTGTGGTGTTCTTTTCGAGTATATACTTGTTTGTGTTTGATATTCCTTTCATTCCTTCTATAGTAAAAATATGGAACATTCAAAATCACAAATCTGGCTTTTTCTTATTGTATTTCTTGATTAATTAATAGCTAATCGTATAACGTTCTTTCGTAGAATAATCGCTTCAATGGTTTAATAGACCTTTCGTTCCCTTCAAAATATTTTTTCGATTAATCTGTAGCTTGTTGTACCAACGACTTTTTTCATAGCATTTATTTTATCAACATATTATTTTTTTCTTGATATACGTATATAGGTTATTATTTTTATTTATTATTTTGACAATCATATAATGTATCTTATATAAATATAAATATTGAATAAATTCTTTAAATTTTATACATTTATTGTTGGTTGTTTTTCTTTTTAATGTTAGTTATACTATAAACTTACGATTAAAATATTTTCTTATATACATTTTGTCTAAAAAAGTCTAATATAAAACTTTTTTTAGTATATAAAAAATAAAATATTAAGTTTTTTATAAATATATATATAAAATATGGACAGAAAGATATTTTTATTATACAAAATATATTTAAAAAAATTATTTGCAAAATCAAAAATTACTTTTTGTTTGTTTCATAAATTAACTTTTAATTGAGTTTAAATATGTATATTTTAAAAATTTTTTAATTTTTAATATTAAAAAACCAAATATTTTTTTTATCTTTCAATATTTACAAGTTTTTTATACTTTTTTTATCTTTATTACAAGACTTTTTAAAAAAAAATTGCATTAAAAAAAGCATATAACAATTATTTTTTTACAAATTTTTCTTGAGTTTTTTTTTATTTTTATTTTTTTAATATATAAACCTTTTTAAATAATTATATTTTTTTTGTAAAAAGCTGTTTTTAATTTAAAAAATCAACTTTCATATTAAAATTATTTATATTATTAGCTTGAAAATCAATATATATATAATATATATATAATAGAAATTGTGATTTTTAAAATTTTATAAAATTTTATTTAAATATATTTTAAAACTTAAGAATAAAATGATATAAATCTTATTAAAAGTATTTATTTTTGAAAATTTAAATATATAAAAATTAAAAAAATATTTTTTTAACTATTAACAAATAAGTATATATATATATATATTTATTTATTATTAAAGAGTATTAGATACAAAATTTTATTAAGTATATAAATTAATATACAAATTATATTAAATATCTCTATATAATGTATATAAATTAACATTAACTATCTATAATGCTAACTATTGTTATCATAATTATACTTAATATAACTCAGATTGGCTTTAGTATTAATGTTTTTCTAGAGCTAATAGTAAGTTAAGTAATTTAAATATGCTATTTGATTTGATATATTGCAAATCTAATAAGAAAATAATTTGCTGAAGTAAGTCTGGTTTTTAAAAGGAGCTTGTTATGTTTTTAACTTTTTTATCTTATAATTTACTTTAGATTCTAGATCATTTGATACCTGCTACTATTGATATATTTGCTATTGCTAATCTGAATATCTATATTAATGTGTAGAAAAGTTTTAAAATATTATTAATGTACTTGACTAGTTTCTTATTTGAAAGTTGAACATTAAAAGCTGTTATATCACATATTAGCTTTTCTGGCTGTTTCCTATTGAATTTGAGATTTATATGATATAAAAATATTGTATTGATTTTATTTAAGAGCTTCTTGAATTTGAAATTCATTTTGATCTTGATTTTTTCATATGTTTCAATATTTTTGTTATATTTAAAAATATGTTTCTGGGTTTTTGACATTATTAAGCATTTGGAACAAAGATTGTTTTAATAAATATTGAGATATTTTTTATATAATAACTTTTTTATAAAAAGAGTTCTACTTAGAATTTTATTTCTAAAGACCAATAGAAAAAATGAATTATATTTATCCTTTTTGATTAGTAAGTTGTTTGTAAGTATAAGATATTACAATATTTCTGATGCTAATGTTTGGTTCCACTTGCTTTTGATTAATAAGCTATTAATCAAATTAACTAGTCTATAGAATTGTTAGATTTTTTTAAATCAGATTATCAAGCTATTCTTAATTTATGGTCCTATAATATGCTTGTAGATTTTTATTATATTGTCTATACAAATTATTAAATCATTTGTTTGAAAGTTAATAGAACATTCAAGTTTGTTTAATTGCAATCTAATTTTTTTAATCTGCAAAAAGTGAAGATATAATTTACTAGATAGCTATAGGCCATTTTGATCTTTTGATTGGTATAGCTTGAGGCAGATAAGTTGAAAACTTTGATTAGATTGATTGATATATAAACATTGTTTTTGGCTATTGCTAAAATTTCAATTAAAACTAGGAAAGTACTAATAGGTTGCTTGTACTTAGAATAACAGATAAGCATAACTTGATTTGCTTTAATTATTATAAGGTCATCTTTGATATCTAAATCTATAGTAACAAAGAACCAATCTGTTATGAAAATTTGTTTGATGTTAGCTATTATATCATTGTTAAAATGTGGAAGAGTATTGGTTATGTCTTGGCTATTAATTTTAATAGTGATTATAAGCTTTATAAATTTTTTAGAGTATAATTGAACTAGAATTTCTTCCAGAACATTTGTCAAAATGTGCTGATTATTTTATTGATATATCCAATAAGTCATTGCTTCTTATATAGGCACTATAATTTTTTGTACATTATTATAGTACTGGTATCTGATGAGTGTTTTATTTATATTAATAATATAATAAGTTCTTTTGACAAGTAATTGATTCATGTTATGATTATATCTTGTTTTCAAGTAGATAATCTAATTATTAAATATAGTTGTCCAGAATCTGGCCTTGATGTTTAATATACAGATAAAAGTTTCTTGAATGTAGTTAAAGATTTTGACTTGAGTAAATTAGAGAGGAATAGAATTTCTGGAGGTGGGATATAAATGTATATTGAATTTATATTATATAAGTTTGCAGTTTGATTGATATACAGTACCCTACCAAAATATTGTGAACACTTTTTAAATTTTTATTATTTAAAACCGGGTAAATAAATATAACATAAAAATTTTGTCACATGTTCGATAAATCTTAAGATATTACTTGCTAGAATTTCATGCAGTTTCGTTAGGTTGCACAGAAGTTATGTAAAAAGCATGACAACTTGCAGTTTTTGAAACTAGCCAGTGATTGATCTTGAATTTTTTTTTTTTAAAAAAAAATTCATAAAAAATCAAATTCTTGTCAAAATCGTTTCAAACTTTGCTCAAATGTTGTACGGCACATAGTTAAGATTATATAATATTAGAAGGACACGGTTATATAATGATTAACTAAAGATTATCTTATCTTCTCACGGACAATGAGTAGCAACAGAGATTTGACGAAAAGTCAAAAAAGTGCGATAGTTTATGATTACCAGCGAGGAGATTCGGTTCGTGCTATTTCAGCTGCTGTTGGATGCAATAAGTCTGCTGTGTAAAATGTCGTAAGTGGGTTTCGTCGACTGGGTGCTATTGAGACAAAAAAGAAAAGAACTGGACGTCCCAGAATCCTCTCTCCCGCTAATCACAAAATCTTCTAAAATTTAGTTATTAATGACAACCGCCGTCTTAATCTCACTCAAGTTAACAATTTTTATAATAAAAAAAAAAAAAAAAAGTTTCTACCAGCACCGTGCGCCATATATTACATGGTGAAAACTTGAGATCGTGTGTCACCTCCTCGAAACCGTTTGTCTCTCCACAGAACAAACAAAAAAGGTATAATTGGGCTCTTACCCATGAAAAACGGTCTGTCTGGCACTTCAAGCATGTTTTGTGGTCAAATGAGATCACTGTTAGTCTTTTCCAAGGTTCCCCTGGTCACATTTGGCATAAGCCTCATGAGAAATAGGCAACTGATTGCTTGAATCCCACCATAGGTCGTAGTCTGGATCGAATGTACTGGAGTTGCTTCTTCTGGTATGTGTTGGGCCCTTTGTCCCACTTGAATCTTCTGTTACTGGTGTCACATATATCAAGATTCTCCAAAGGTACGCTCTTCCTGCCCTAAAAAAATTTCTGCCGAGTGATCGTGGTCACCCCGTCTTTCAACAAGACAACGCAAGACCTCACGTTGCAAAACCTGTAAAAGAATTCATGAAAAAAAAACAAATTAGATCGATGGATTGGCCCCCTTAGAGCCCCGACCTTAATCCAATTGAAAACTTGTAGGCTAAGGTTAAAAGATCTCTATGCCACGAGCCAAAGCCAAATAACATTAAAGAGTTAGGCGACCTTGTTAAAAAAGTGTGGTCTAGAATATCACTTAGATATTGTCGTCGGTTGGTTACTAGCATGCCCGATCGGGCTGCCGCTTGCGTCGTTGTCGAGGGAGAACCTACAAAATATTAAAATTTCATTAATTTTTTTTTTTCTTTAAAAAATTTAAAAAAAAAAAATTTTTTTAAATTTTTTTTACTTAAATTTTCGGTCAATGGAAAAAAATCAAGTTTTTGGTTTTTTCTTCATAACTTTTGCACAATCTAATAAAATTAAATGAAAATTTAATGACTAATACCTTAAGACTTTCTGAACATGTGATAAAAATTTTGTATTACATTTACTTGGCCAATTTCAAATAATAAAAATTTAAAAAGTGTTCACAATATTTTGGTAGGGCACTGTATATACTGTATATATACTGTATATATAATAATAATATATAATTTTTATATTTACCAATAAAATAAATTTTTAATTTAATTTATATAAATATAAATATTCAATATTTAAATTACTGTATATAAAAA